CCCCCCCCCAATGTGTGTGTGTTTGTGTTGTTAGAAACGTTGTGTATTTTCTTCTTTGAATTCTGTTTATTTCCGTAACTGTTTTTGACTTTTGGTCTGTGTTGTGTTCTTTGTTTTTCTGTGTTGAATCCAACCGTATAAAGAACTTGAAATTTGGACAAACGGTTGGAAAGTTATAGGTCAAAAACTGGACAGAGGTCGAAGTTGAAAAACAGAGAAACGAATCTGTCCAAATGGTGATAAGAGGGTGATAGAAAGTGTTGTTTGTGTTTTTCTTTGATTTCTTGTTTTGTTTCTTTTCTTTTACCTTTCTTTCTCATTTTTAGTTTTCAATTTGTATTGTGCTTTTGTGTTGTGTTAAATAAGTGTTCTTTACGTACTCAAATTAGAACTTGTAAGAAGCCGATAGTTCTTCGTGGGATCGACCTCGTACTTACATAATCTATACCTCAATAGATTCGTGCACTTGCGGGTATTTTTAATTAGTTGTTTGCACATTTATTTGTGTCAATTATGAGTACAACAGTAGATAATCCTCTTCTATCTAACATGGCTCAAAATATGAAATTGAAATATGATAAGTATTGGGGATCACTTGATAGTGTGAACCAATTCTTGTTGATAGCTGTTGTTCTTGATCCTAGGTATAAATTGGACAATTTATCAATGCATACTGCTGATTTGTATGTGCAAAATGATGCTTATGTTGTCGAGAAGACAACTGGTGTGAGAGATCTTTTGTTTAAACTTTATGGGTTGTACGAGGCAGGTTTCGTTAGTAATCCAACTCAAAGTTTTAGTAGTTCTCCTACATCCTCAAGTATTGGTAGCATCATAGTGACTGATAGTTCTAACTCCTCAAGCTTTGGAGGTGATAGGAAAAAGGCTATGAAGGAAAAGTGGAAAAAGAGACAAGAAGATAAAAAGGCAGTGGTTTTATCTCATGAGACAGATAGATATTTGTCGGATGCTGCAGAACAAGATATTGAACATTTTGATATTTTAAATTGGTGGAGGGTGAATGCTTCTAAATATCCCGTTTTAGCTGCCATTGCAAGAGATGTGCTTGCAATTCCAATTTCTACGGTTGCCTCATAATCTACTTTTAGCACGGGAGGGAGAGCAATTAACTCATTTCGTAGTTCCTTGAGTCCTGCTATGGTTAAGACTTTAATTTGTACACAAAATTGGTTGAAGTCCACTTCAATTTCTTTAAAAGTTTTGAGCCCACCATTGAGGAGATGGAGTTTTATGAAACCATTGAGTCAGGTATATCTATTTGTCTCGATTAATTGCTTATAACGTGTGAGTTTTATTGTGCTGAAGCTAATTATATGATTATGTATATTTCCTATATAGAAATGCGGAGATCAAATGCTAATGCGCCTGTGCACATTTTCACTGATTGATTATCTATTGATGCACAACCTTTCAGTTATGGTAATTTTCTTATTCATTTCTTATTTTGATCATATTGTATCCTAAAATTTGTGTTGATTGAAACTGCTTCTATGTGCAGTATGGGGACATGCTAGAAACTAGAAATTGGAAACTGGGCAGCCTTTAATTAAATGGAAATTATGAACTTGTATTTTGGGCAGCCTTTCATTTCTTAGTTTTATCATCTTGTATTCATTTCTTATGAACTTTAGAATGTTTGTTTTGATGGATATTGTGAACTTAGATGCATGCTGGAAACTGGACAGCTTTTGATGAAATAGAAATTATGAACTTGTATTTTGGGCAGCCTTTCATTTCTTAGTTTTATCATCTTGTATTCATTTCTTATGAACTTTAGAATGTTTGTTTTGACGGAAATTGTGAACTTAGGTGCATGCTGGAAATTGGACAGCTTTTGATTAAATGGAATGTTGTTGTGTTAGCCTTTGATGGAATGGAATGATATAATGGCATAAGGTTAGCATTATAATGTAAGAGCAGGTTGAAAAATGCTTGGTTTTGTGTTAGGCATAAACCGGCCGAACCAATCCGAACCAAACCGATTACAAGTGGTTTTGATTGGTTCGGTTTTGATTATGGTTTTAGGCTAATCCGAACCAAATCGAACTATTATTTTCTTATTGGTTCAGCTGTGATTTGAGAGTAAAACCGAACCAATCCGGACCGTGCCCACCCCTACTTTCTAGGGTCACCATCGTCTTTCAAATCTTTGGCACACCACTTGATTTATATACTCATTTCCATTATGAGGCATTTCCTCTAAAGTCCAATTGATATTTTAAGTAAGAGCAGTTCCACTAGTTAGCTCAGCATAAACAAAAGGCCCTTTAGGCCTCCAAAAATGGCTCCAGCAAGGAAGTCTTTGGTAAGAGCTAGAGTCCACCAAGCTCGGGGCAAGGCCCAAGGCAAGATCAACCTGAGCTGCTGCATGAGGGCGATAACGTCAACGAATAATTTTTTTTTTTTTAAATCGAAAAAAATACCAAAAATTCAAAACAAAAAAAATACATACCTAGCATTTTTTATTTTATTTATATTAATCTCATACATATAACTAAAATTAATCTCATATGAGTAGTAATTGCCCTTGAGTTGCCATAGCAATGGGTGGAAAAGCACAAAAATAAATTGCTAAAGCAGTTAGTATTCACATGAACAGTAACTGCCTTTGCCTTTTGCCATGGCAAATTGTTGGAAGTGCTAAGTGCCATGAACTGATCCAACATGGTGTTCACCAAATTCAGCAAAGCAAGATAAGCTTCATCCCTTGAAGTCTTTAGAAGTTAGAACCACCTTAGCAGTTAAGCAAGCTTGGTGTTCACTCGCATGCCAGCTACGCTTGGCAGACCCCGCATGGTGGCTGAGTGCGCTCTCCAACGTCAATTAAAGCATGGTTGAGATTACTTTAGATTTCCCATGAATGGCTAGATTTCATTCATTTTGAAATATAGTAAGAATGATCAAACGGTACAGATTAAACAAAATTAAAATCTAACGACTGCGAATAGATCTTTGACGTGCAAGTGTGCACCAACTAGTTTGATCCCATGGCCTAAAATACCACTAAATTTACTCCAATTTTTGTTTTTTGTTTTTTTTAATAATTCCTTTTTCTTTTTCTTTTTTTCATTTCTCTATGTATAGCTAGCATAAAATAAAATCATACCTTATCAAAAAATTTAAATTTTTAGTTCCATTTGTTTGAAAAAATAAAATAAACCTAACACACACACATAAATTTACCATACAAATGAATTAATACAAAAAAATATATCAAAATTACATCTTTTTTTTTAACTGAAGTGTTGCATTCAATAGACGACAAAGAAACTGCTACAAAGCTACAAATCATGAGGGCCCAGCCACAAAGGGAAACAGAATAGTACTCAAGGTTAAAAACCAACCAAATTTAACAGGGGCAAAAAAGCAAAACACTGTTGGTGTTAAAGATAAAACAGCTAAAGGAGTTACATGAGCAGAGACATAGGCAGAGCCTAACACATGTCCATTCCTTCCAGCTGGAAATATGGAGCTAAATACAGAGGGCAAGGAAGACCATCTTTGTTCAAAACATGGGTCAGAAAAGATAGGGGTCTATGACCCACACTTCCGTGCGCATCTTTTCCTTTGCTAGCGTTGCCAAAAGATTGGCCACTTCATTCGTTGAACGAGGAATCCAAGAACAATGACAATTAAAAAAGTTGAAAAGTTGCTCCTTGAACTTTCTCACGATGGGATACAACGTCCAAGCCCCTTTGGCAATATTACCATTTAAGCATTGAGTCACAAACCCTAAATCCAATTCTAGAATTACATGTCTTTTCCCCCTCTCCCGAGCAAACATGCTTCCCCATAGAAGTGCAAGAGCCTCGACTTCCAAAGCAGAACTTGTGGTGATTTGAACTATCTTTGCGATGATGAACTTGCATCGGGAGTCTCTAATTATAATTCAAAGTCCGGCCTTGCCGTTTCTCGGGCTCTATGCAACATGCACGTTTACTTTGATGGTATTTCCAAATAGGGGTGACCAGACAGAGGAAGTAGTTTGATCATTGTTCAAACTCATAATGTTGTTGCGGGTATGGGTAGTTTGGGCAGCAAGGAAACTAGTTACCCCAGTTAAGGTAGCATAAATCGTAAGGTGGTCACAACACAGATTGCTTTCACCCGATGGAACATATGGAAAACTCTATGTAATGCTGTATTTGAACGTTAAATTTACATATTTTACCCTAAAAAGTCAAATGAAAAGTAACAGGGGTGAAATTGGCAATAAGTAATACTTATGTAGGGAATTTAAGCAATAATTTCAAAAACAGGACATTTTTACAAAAATTATCCAACCCAGGGACAAAGCCGAGAATTTCCGAAAAAGAAGTAGCCACTACTAGTAAAAAGACGCGACCTTACGTCCCCAATTTCATTCTTGAATCTTTGCAAAACCCTTGAAATAAATCTCTCTGAATCCCAAACCAAGAAGCCATGGCAGGCCAAACTGTGAAGCTCTTCACAGTGCTCAAGAGATCTGCAAACATAATGCGGTCCCCCACGTCCCACTTCTTACACCTCTCCGCCCTGCTTCTCCCCCTGGGTGTCTTCTTGTCCACCGTCATCTACCCTTTTCTGCTTGATTCCCTCACCGACCCATTCTCCCCCGGCGACCGGGCTCCTAATTCTGCACCTCAACCAAGCCAACCGACCATCGCCTCCACACTCATTCATATCTTTACACCTATCGCCTTCACGGTCTTCGCCTTGATCTCCTCTGTCTGTGCAGTCGGGTCGATCACCCACACCATATTTCATGGGTTCCACGGCCGACCCGTGAAGCTAAGGTCGGCGATCGAAGCGGGTTTCGGGTCTTTTTTATTTCTGCTGGCTACGGCTGTGATTTTGCAGCTGGTTGTGAAATGGTTTGGGATACTGCTGTTTATGGGGGGTCGAGTGGTCGAGCTGCAGAGCGGGCGGAGGATGGAGGACTGGTCGCCTGAGTTGACTGTCGCCTTCTACGGGGTGGCTGCAACGGCTGTGTTGCCGGTGGCTCTGTACGTGCAAGTGATGTTGAGCATGGCCCCCGTTGTGGTTGTGGCGGAAGCGTGTTGGGGTTTGACTGCCTTGAGCCGAAGCTGGCGTTTGGTAGAGGGAACGAAACTCAGAGGGGTTGTGCTCTCGTTGATGCTGATTTGTGGGTTTTACAGTGGGGTTTTGGGGATTTTGGGTTGGAGATTGGAAAGGGCGTGGGTGGCACTAACCAGTGGGTGGCAGAATGGGGCGCTGTGTCTGCTACATGGCATTGCCGTCATCAGTATTTTGCAGATGATGGTCATCTTCTTCTATACAGTGGCAATCACTGTATTGTATTGCGAGGCCAAGGAAGACGACGGTGGTGAGGAGGTTGATCTTGGTGATGACTGTTGCAAGTTTCCCTGATGTCGTTTTTGTCTAGGGTTTAGGTAGGATGACTTTAACAAATTAAGAGGCTACCTATGGTTTAGGTCTGTGCTTCATCTCGTCTGTTGTTGTATCTGTTTTTAGTGGAATTCCCTTCCATTGTTTTGTTTCAAATGATATGAAGACTCTACAACATATTACCAACAACAAGGCTGCAATTTCCTTCCCCAGCAATATTGCACATATTTGTTGAAAATATAAACAAACAACACTTTCAATCGATTTGGATAAGCATTGGGCAGAAACTTTATTGTATGGACACAAATTTGCAGGAAAAATGAAAGAATCCCATTCATTCTAAGCAAGAAACAAGGGAAAACAACAGGAAGAGTTATATTAATAATCAAGGGGAAAAAAGAAGCTCCTAATTCTAGTGCAGAATGCAGAAAGATTTTTCAAGCCTCAGTTGAAGTCCTTCAATCTTTTCTTAAGCATATCCATTGATTTCTTACGACCACTTTGCTTGTTATTCCTATTTGAAAGGCTCCCAAAAATCCCATCAGTAGAATCCTTGAACTTCTCGCAGATACTAGACACCTTTTTGTAGTCCAAAGCATTGTAGTTTTTCTCCCTTATCACAGGATTCATGAAGTTCTCTGGCTGACTGCTCAACAAAAGGTTTATCAATTGTCGTGCTTCTATCAAGCAACCTCTAAAACTACCTTCTTTGTAAATTTCGCTCAAGCCAGTACTGTGAAACTTCTCGTCCGCAAAAGACTCCAGCGTCTTCAAATCATAGTTGATACCCATAACTGCATTGGCATTGAACCTCTTGACACTATCACTAAGAAAAGCCGACACTATAGAGTTAGAAATGTGATCAAGAGCCCCATTCCCAACCTTGTACAAAGCATCCAGAGGTAAAATTTGTTGTGCTGTCGACATAAGAGTATCGAGGTAAATAACAACTTCATTTATATAATCATTCCCATTCTGAGGCGGTTCCTCTAAAGTCCAACTGATATTTTCTGTAAGTGCCATGAACTGATCCAACTTGTTGTTCATCAAATTCAACAACGCAAGATAAGCTTCGTCCCTTGAAGTCTTTAGAACCACCTTAGCAGTTAAGCAAGCTTGAGGCCTCTCAACTGACCGGATTGGGATCCCACATAGTTGGGCTGCATGACGAAGGAAAAAGTCACAAGCTCTTTCAAGTGCGGATATGTTTGCAGCAATCTGCATGGCTTGAGAGACACCAATGTTGCCACTTTGAATTGTATTAAGTATCACCTCATTTAACACATCTATCAACAGTTTGTCCAAATACTTCCTCACAACATCATAAAAATTAGTATGTACCCCATGAGACAAGTAATCAACAGACCCTTTGATGAATGATCTGACAATTCGGCAGGCATCAGGTACTGTGGAGGAGAATGGTGCAATGTACGGAAATGCTGGTGTAATATCTGATGTCTGGAGATTGAATGACAGGACAACACTTTCGTAGTCAGTGTCCTTTTTCAAGACCATCTGTTCATAGGTATCACTGGCAATAACATTTGCAATTTGTTGACGACACTCTTCCGAAAGAAGTTCGTGGTATTTGTCTCTGCTCTTGTCAAGCGTCTCAAGAAGTGGTCCCACTTCATACCCATATTGTCTAAGAGTAGAGCCAAGAAGAGTGACATAATCCTTCACCAAGAGAAGATGGGTCGTAGAATTCATATGGGAGAATTGTTCCTCTAGCACAGATTTCATTTTAGCTATAGCTGTATCCCACATTTTTTCAACTTGCTCAGCTAACAGTAGGCCCCCGGCTGTCCTCAAAACTCGATCCTCCACTATGAAGTATCCTGCAATTTGAGCCAAAAATATTTGATGGGATTCAACAAAAGGCTGTGCTGAAGAGATCTGCAAGTCTGAATTAAGCTGCAACAATCGATTTCTATAGTAATATTCCCAAAACTGCTCTTGGATTCCTAGGCAACTTTGGATGTGATATGCCCTGTATAGAGGAGTTAGGTCAACCTTCAAAATAGATTCTTCATCAATTTCTTCAACATCTAAAGTATATGCAAAATCTCCCAACCCTGAAATATTCTGCTCCTCAGCTTTCCTTTGGCGTTCGAGCATTTCCTCATCCCTCTGACGTGCAGATGCAGCATGACCAATTGCCGTTTGTCCAATATCCTTTGCAGAACTCCTTATGTGGACCAGCCATTCATTGAATTGACTAGTCACTTTCTTCTCAATGTGCAATTTAATTATCGGAATTCTCTTCTCTACAATCATTCTAACTGCCCTGACAGGAATATTCTGCAAGTAATTTTTCTCAATTAAATCCAAAGTTTTCAATGCCGGGTAAAACTGGCCCTCAGATATGTGTTTATTAAACTTGACACAGAGCTCCAACACTTGTACACAGTTCTTGGACACTTTGATAGCTTCAGTCACATTCTTTTTTATTGAATAAGATTCAAGAAGCTCCTCAAGTTTAATCAATAAAGCACTCCCAACCTCTTGCAACTTGAAATTATCACTAGAGAGCTCGCCTTTTAGCTCTTCGGCATCAACCAACACACCACGAAGCTCGTCAACTGCAAGAATGAATTCCTCATAATGAGTCTTGCAGAGCTCCTCAATTTCGACTTCCTTCTTTTTCACAACATGCTTGAGCTGGTGAAGGAGTGATTCTGGCCTCCCCATCTCAAATGCATGCCGGACAATAGGACCGAGGTCATCTCCATTCCTAATCAATGTAGCAAGGACCAAGTCCTCGGCAGTATCCCCATTCTCTGTAGCAACTCTTCTCTTCACTTTTGACTCCATTATTCTGAAAAAACACCTTGCAATCAAATCATACAAGAAGAATAAAATGAAACAAATATAATAAGCTGAGCAGAAGACACAAGAAAAGCTATATCTTACTCATCCTAATCAAGCAAAGAAAACAAAAACATGATATTCTGGGGAAAAAGTTCTCATAACCCCCAACCAAATGAGTATCTGAAGCAACATATATACCAGATTAAAGGGATTAGAATGCCCCTATTCAGAAAATATCTAAATGAGTTTCCCAAGGATGACAATATTTGCCTACAGCCAAATCAACCTTACTTAAGTTACCCATTCACTAGCCCAGCAAAATAATCAGCACCTCTTCTTCTTCAATTTCAGAACCTCTCTCTCTCTCTCTCTCTCTCTCTCTCATATATATACATATATAGTGTCTTCTTCTCTCACTTTTCTGGTAGCCTGGTGTGTAATGGGAGAATTGGGGATTTGGGTTTCTAACGTAGTAACACAACACGTCTTTGTTACCTCACTCTGATTTTTCTTTTTCCCCTCAAAATAACAAGGAGGCGAAATCCACATGAGGACAACAGAAAACGAATAAAAATGGAAACTTTTTCCTAGTATGTTGAAGAAGATTCTAAGACCACTCTAATAATTGATATTACTTCACTCCTTCCCAGCCTAAAAAGTTGGAAAAAAATTAAAAACATCAGTTAGATAGCAGGATCAAGAACAACCCAGAAAAGAAGAAGAAGAAGAGTTTGATCAAAATGGAAATCTGGGCGTATCTGAAAATAGGTTCATATCAAATAAGTCTATCGGTCACAAAAATCACTGAGAAACATAACAAGAAGCAAATTTAACTCTTAGCTGAAACCACACAGCACACGAATATGGTGTCCAACCAAATGTGTTACCAGGCAATTCAAAAATGGAAGGACAAACATAAAAGCAAAAACCCAGATATATTTTCGACAAAATGTGAAAGCTTTGATTGCGAAAAAGACTCACTTACAGAGAGAAGCTTTTATTTTCTTCCTCTTTTCTGTCCTGTTTGAGGCTCCAAATCTAACGAGGAAAATGCAAATATACCAACAGAATTATATCGAAGAGCCTTTGCTTTTCTTTTCCTTTCCTGTTTATTCTCTGTCTTTATTTGTTGTATTTTCCATTTCCAAATGGATTCTGCTTTCCTGCACACAATCTTTCGAGATGGGTATTTGCCATTTCCCACAACATAGTTTTTACATCCTTCGCGATGCTACCTATGTGAGGTAGGGCTCCGGTGTCTTTCGTCCATGGCACTTTTCGTGCACTCGGCATCTTATTGGAATTAAAAGAGAAGGTAGGCCCGCCCTTCTGTAGGCCCCATCACAATCTCTGAAATCTGAATTCTCCACGGGATTGAAATGTTTACTTTACCCTTACATACATAGTGAAAATTTCGGAAAGTTACAAGGACTACAGTGCCATTTTACTTTACCCTTACTTGCCACCGGATTGAAGTGTTTGCTTCTTTTAGGTACTTTTTTTTTGGGAAGAATTTAAGATGCAATTTGGAATCACAAGTGCTTCATTTTAAAATATAAATACTTAAATAATAATCTATTTAATTGTAAATTTTACATGTCTTATAATTTTTTTATTATAAATAATGATAAAATTAAAAAACAAAACTGACATGCACATGAGTGGAGTGGAGGTCCAAATGCTAGTGAGTAAACAATAACAATTCAATTAATTACGGGGTATTCCTCCAAGTCCTTTCCTTTTTTTAAAATTTTTTATACAAATAATATTCTACTTTAATCCAATCTAAATTATATAGAGGGGTTTCAAACTCATGTGCATAGTGGGGAGCACATCAGCTCTAACCAACTTGACTAAACCTATATTTGCTTAAATAATAACTAGCCTCTTCGCACGCACTTCCGTGCCTGCGTGAGGCTTTTTTTTTTTTTAAATAAAATTTATTTCAGAATTAAAAAAGATAATGGGTAATTGTGTTCCATAAAAAGAGGATCCATTATCTAATTTTTCTTTTAATTTTAAATTTTTTTAATATGAAAAAGTGTGAATTTACCATATTATCCTCATTTAATTAATAATTTTAATTCTTAATATTTACATTAACCAATGATGATTTCTGGTATTTTGAATGTTTCACCATTCTCTGCCTTTTGCTTTATATATATAGATAAAAAAATTCACTTATTTTTCTTTATATGATGATTTATTTTTAAGAGAAATCAGAATTTATTATTAATCAAAGGAAAGTACACTCTTGGAAAAAAAAAAAAAGATCCTGAATCAAATTATGTGGGCGTTTCAGGTCAAATTGATGATTCTAAAGTTACATGTAAAGTTGAAATTTGGGGGTAGCCCATCTTCTGTTGTTAATACATATCATACACGTATTGCCTTGTGTTCATAATACAAGTGACTAAATTTAAATCAGTGCAAGTGTCACATGCCGTTGAATAAAGAGAATGGTGTTACTTTGGGATAACCGTCCATGTAAGCATTGAGTAACTTCTAGTCATTACTATAATTAGTCGTCTACAATAGCGTCACACATGCGTGAGCATGTATTTAGGGTTTAGGGTCCCTTCTCTAAGTGAATGACTCAATAACTTTGTGATTGTGTTGGCATTACATATTACTTCCTAGTTGTAGTTTAGACTTTAGTTGATAATAATAGCCATAGGCTGACATTCAACACCACTAATTATTAGGGCATTGTGGTTCACGACTTGTTTTGTACGTCACGTAAAGTTTAATATTTTCTTAAACTCTATATACCCTATTTATAAAAAATAAAAATAAAAAAACTTAAACCTCAACTATGTGAATGATTACGAACCACTAATTAGTTTAGTGATATTTATTTTCTTAATATTGGAAGAGATTCAAAATTTGAATCACCTCACTTTTATTGATAAATAAAAAATAAAATTGAGTAGATAAAAAACAAAACAAAGAGGAAAGTCTAGATAAAATACAAATGGATGTGACGTGCCTCATACTAGGCATTAGCTACCAACCAAAAACCCTAAATGAAAGACTAATTATACAAATTAATAGCTTATTCAAATTACTCATTATCGTTTTTAATTAGTTTTGAAATAGTGTTATTTGACAATCATCTCTTATTTATTATTACTCGAAGACTCAGTTTACATTTGGAAAAATACCGCCATGCATATCAAAATCACAATTGACATGAGCACTCATTATCTCTCCACAATTAGCTCATCAGCAATCACTTCCCCTGTCAAGGGAGGAAGATGATCACGATAGTCTTAATTATTTTGCAATTAAGGAAACTCTTCTTAATTAACTCTCCTTCCTCTGCGGAGTACCCGTTGGATTATGATCCATCATGATCACTTGACATGCCATGCACAACTCCAAGCTTACCTTATCAACCTAACAACTATTATTATATGTTTATTACGATAACCTATTTTAATTACTGTTGACATAATTAGACTGCAATATCAATTTTAAGTTATTATTTTGTGACGACAAGTGAGCGGTTATACTCACTTTATTTCATACACGTAATCAGATACGAATAACACGTGTGTTTACTTACTATTAGATTAAAAAAATCAACGCTTAATCCTTTGTTTATCAACAAACAAAAAACTAATACATAGAGGATTACAATCCCAACAAATGACGATTATCTTTAACAATTGATAATTAGACATTAAAAAAATTATATTTAAGGGCTCAATGAATGAAGAGAAGCCACCTACCAGCACTACGCATGGTCTTGGAAAAAAGCCCGATACCAAAAGTGGGCCAATTGATAGAATATTCCTCTTATCTCGTTGAAATTCTCATGAGATTAGCTCAAACAAACAAATATCCCTGCCACATGGTGGGTTCGATGTTAATCCCACAGGCCATACTCACCGTTACACGTGACACTTAAATATTGGGTTAGCTTAAGAATGTGAATCGAGGAGGGCGGGTAATGTGAATCGACTCTACTGCGGTCTCCAACGGCGGGCCCACTGGTGACGTGGTAGGATAAGCACCACAAGCAAACCCCCCCGCCCACATATTTATCGTTATGTTATGCTTATCCTATTCGACCCTTTTCGGAAAGAACACGCGTCATCTTGCTAAATGGGAATGGATAGCTACCCTAGCCTACCTTGTAGACTCATTCTAGCTGCTGCTAATGCCACATCCTCGACTGGATATAACCTCCCTACTCTCTCCATCTTTTTTTTTCTTTTTTTTTGCATTTAATTAACTCAATTTCCATTTCCGAATTATTGGGATTTTATGGGATGCCGAATAATGTTGAATAAATATAACTACGTATTTTTTTGATTTTGTCTTGATACTTAAACTTTGGAAGTATGGTCAATCACGTATATATTTATAAAAAAAATTAATTAATTTTTTTTAACACATGTGTATTGTCGTTTTAGTTAGTATGTGTTAGAAAATTACCGGACCAGATTAAATATATAGAATTGTCATGTATACGCATCTACATACTTGACTTACTATTGATTATATATATATTTTTATAAAATTGACTTCCTATACATTTAACTTTTTGTGGTCACGAAGTGCAAATCTTTTATTTATAATAAAATACTTGTTAATTTTTCAGGATCTATTGTCTTAACATGCATTTTTATGAAAAAGGTTTGCACCCCCCACATTTCACATTTTGATTTTATATAATTTTTTGTATACACACCTACTATCCAATTAGATTGAAGTTGAAGTTAGAGACTATGGTCAAAATGTTAAAAATTTTATCTTGGAAAATTTCAGACCATTTATTAATGTTGTTGAAGCTATTTCCTTTTTAGGATATTTTTTTTTCGTTGAATTCCTCTTTGGGTATATGTAGTGTGAAGAAGTGGACAATTATATATTTATCCTGCGGATATTCTCATTGAATAATGCTATCCGGATAAAGTTTGTGACAAGTGCAAGGAATCTTGGACCAAAGCCAAATTATTGGCACTGGCAAGCATCAAAAGAGTTTTTGGTTACTTGTGCGAGTATGCTTACCTATTCGCATACGAGGTAGCGAAAGTCAAAGTATTAACCAATCAAAACTACGTGACGTCCACAAAACGACGAAACCAATCAACAATAAATTGAGCAGCCATCTCCGTTCAAACATTTCAAACACTTGCATTTCCTTTCGAGCTAATGGCCTAAAAACTAGAAGTAGCAAAACTATCCAAACATTGTTTTCATTCTCTGTCTTTGCTTTTGTCTTTGTTTCTTGTTTGTTTTTCTGAGAGCCTAAACATGGAGGCCAAACACAGCTCTGAGCTTCCTCCTGGTTTTAGATTCCACCCAACTGATGAGGAACTCATCATGTTTTACCTCAAAAACCAGGCCACCTCAAGGCCATGCCCTGTGTCCATAATCCCAGAAGTTGATCTTTACAAGTTTGATCCATGGCAGTTGCCTGGTTAGTGTTGTAATTAAGATGTTTTAAACTTAATTACAAGTGTTGCTTAGCATGCATACGCATTAGTTTAATTATTCTTGATTGATTGCTAAACCTAAACCTAATGGTGTTTGTTTATGTTATGCAGAGAAAGCAGAGTTCGGAGAACATGAATGGTATTTCTTTACCCCAAGGGACAGGAAGTACCCAAATGGAGTAAGACCTAACAGAGCCACCGTCTCAGGTTACTGGAAAGCCACAGGCACAGACAAGGCAATTTACAGTGGGGCAAAGTATGTTGGGGTGAAGAAAGCTCTTGTGTTTTACCAGGGCAAGCCACCAAAGGGGGTTAAGTCAGATTGGATTATGCATGAATATCGTCTAAGTGACTCGAGAAAACAAGCCAACAAGAAACTTGGGTCCATGAGAGTAAGCCCTCTTTGTCATTGTTAATTTCTTGCCAGTTTGTGACATTACACTTGTTTCAGGCATTTCATCAAACCCTTTGGCTGCAAATTGACCAGTTGCGTTGTGTTTGTTGTATCTTAGTTGGATGATTGGGTCCTCTGCAGAATCTATAAGAAGAGGCATCTGGGCAAAGCTTATTTGGACCAAAAAGTGGAAGAAGAAGACCCAATTACAGATCCCAAAATTGAGATAACAGCTGCCAATGATCATGAGGAACAAATGATGTTGAAATTTCCAAGGACTTGTTCCATTACTAGTTTATTGGACATGGACTACTTGGCCCCAATCTCCCAACTTTTGAGTGAGAATTCTAGCTATGACTTCCAAAACAACTTGGCCAGTGCAGGAAATGCTGGTCATGCCCAAATGTTTCAGTTTGGTGAAATGCCATACCAAAGCACAACAGACTCGGCCAAATTCCAAGTGACTCAGAGTTGCCCTTCTAACCAACCATGGTTTGCGAATCCGGTGTATAACTTTAATGGTTTGGACCGTAATTAACGAATTCAAATTTGGTGTTAGGGTGGAAATTATGTTCTTAAACAAAATTGTAAATTGGGTTTGTGAGAAGAGTTGAATCTTAAACAAATTATGAAATGGATTTGAGCTGTTATTAGTCCTATAATACATTTAAATTTACCCATATTCTCAAACCAGTCGTTTATTTACATCTAAAGTATGACAAAAATCCCATTATTTGCTCATTTGCCATTGCGATCGATCGATTGAGGAATGATGAAATTTATTATGGTCAGATCCAATCTCCTAGTCATGACGAAAATAAATAAATAAATTTTGCGTTCTTCCTTAACTATACAAAATATATATTCAAGAATGAATCACAAATTTAAGACTTTGGCCTTTTCTTAAATTTAAGACAATTATTTTATTTTGATTAGATATTATAGTAAGCAAGATAATGAAAATAATATATTCCTTTATGTTTTTTCAAACAGGTTCCTTGTAACAGTTCCTTATCCTAAAAGAAGAAAAGAAAGTAGCATCTAATGTAATGAGGTTGGTCAAAGAAGCAGCGTGGAAAGCAATTTTGTTTTGATGACGTACAGAGGACTAGCTGTCACGCATGCATGGGTTGAAACTGAAAGTGTTGATGAAGGGATGACATTTCAGACCCTGATTTGATATTTATGTCCTTGACAAAATCCTATTTTAGTTTATAAGTCTGACTGGGCAACCTTCATTTAAATTGAACAAGTCACATGGACGATGATCTTTTCCACTAAAAGATCCCACAAAATTATCTTTCCACAATTTCGCAATGTCTGTTTTATCTAAATTTGCAATTAAAGTCGAGCGGGCCCTACCACAATAGTCGTGGCCCTCCCATTTCCCTTTCTTTCCTCCCACTATAACCCAAAAAAAAAATTGCAATTAAATAAGACGATAAAGTGATTTGATAAATAAATAAAATAAAATAAAACTGCAAGGTCTTCACAGTATTAACCCAAAAAAAAAAAAAAGTTTAGAAAGAATTAGGTTAAGGGCACAAAAGAGATGAACTTTTTTTTAATAATCTTTTAAAAATCCTTATCAACTTCAGAGCATACAAAGATTGTTAACAACCCAAGTCTCAACCACTTAACTAAGCCATTGCTATACTAATTTATAACTAATCAATCCCAGGCCTGTCAAGCAGTTAATTACTCACTCTTTCTTGCCCTGATTTTTCATCTGAAATGGAACATCAAGAAAGCAATGTGTTATTAGGTTTGTCCTCCCAGGATGAATACAGCAAGGGGTTTTTCATGCTCGTCTGCATGGTTTTGTCATGGATAATAGTCCATAGATGGAGCCAGAGGAACAAAAAAGGACCCAAAACATGGCCTCTAGTAGGGGCTGCAATTGAACAGTTGATGAACTATGACAGGATGCACGATTGGCTTGTCAAGTACCTCTCCAAATCGAACTCCGTCGTGGTCCCAATGCCATTCACAACCTATACTTACATTGCAGATCCTGCAAATGTTGAACATGTCCTTAAGACCAACTTTGCCAATTACCCAAAGGTGATCTGATATATTTATGAGATTAGTTACATTAATTGGTCCTTAGTTTTTCTTTAATTTCTTGTTAATCTCCCACTATACACATTTTATTGATTGAAGGGTGAAGTGTATCATTCGTACATGGAAGTCCTGCTTGGAGATGGGATCTTTAATGCTGATGGAGAGCTTTGGAGGAAACAGAGAAAGACTGCAAGCTTTGAATTTGCATCCAAGAATTTGAGGGATTTCAGCACTGTAGTCTTCAGAGATTACAGTCTCAAACTCCATGCCATTCTGAGTCAAGCATTTGAAGGCCAACAAGTAGACATGCAGGTGGGAAAATATTTCATTATAGTCTCTGCACTTGGTTATTTTTTCTATAAATGGAGCTCTGAATATAATATTTTGTGCAGGAACTGCTGATGAGGATGACTTTGGACTCGATATGTAAGGTGGGATTTGGTGTAGAAATTGGAACTCTGGCTCCCAATCTACCAGATAATCACTTTGCCAAGGCCTTTGACACTGCAAACATTATTGTGACACTTCGGTTCATTGATCCATTGTGGAGAATAAAGAGATATTTAAATGTGGGGTCAGAAGCTTTACTTGACAAAAGCATTAAAATCATTGATGATTTTACATACTCTGTTATTCGAAGAAGGAAAGCAGAGATCAAGGAAGCTGTCCAGAATAGCGAAAATAACAAGGTAACATAAACAATAACTTTTTGTGGGACTTACTGCTAAATTTTTTCACTGTAGTTGAAGTCTCAAGGAAACAGATTTATTAGCTAAGAAATCAATTTCTTGATCAGATGAAGCATGATTTACTGTCAAGATTCATTGAGTTAGGCGAAGACCCAGAAAGCAAGTTAACTGACAAAAGCCTCAGAGATGTTGTCCTCAACTTCGTAATAGCTGGCCGGGACACAACAGCAACTACTCTCTCCTGGGCCATTTATATGATAATGTCCCATTCCCATGTAGCTGAGAAGCTATATTTGGAGCTCAAAACCTTGGAAGAAGATCGAGCAAGAGAAGAGAAGGTTTCGTTGCTCCAGTATGACACAGAGGACCTTGAATCATTCAATCAAAGAGTAATACAATTTGCAGGACTTTTGAATTATGATTCACTGGGGAGGCTGTATTATCTGCACGCAGTTATCACCGAGACGCTTCGTTTGTACCCTGCAGTCCCTCAGGTATGCATTTTCCCCAATTGAAAGATAGATGTCAATGCTGTTTGCTATAAGTAATGTATATGGCTCTAGGACCCCAAAGGAATCTTGGAGGATGATGTTCTACCAGATGGAACTAAAGTCAAAGCAGGCGGGATGGTGACTTATGTTCCCTACTCAATGGGTAGGATGGAGTACAATTGGGGACCTGATGCAGCTTCATTCAAGCCTGAGAGATGGCTGAAAGATGGTTTCTTCCAAAATGCGTCGCCGTTTAAGTTCACCGCATTCCAGGTGAGTTTACCGAGCGATCTTTTAACCGTATATCCATGCAAAAGTTAGAGGTCAGTAACATAAACACTTGATCACTTCTTATTTGCAGGCAGGGCCAAGAATATGCCTAGGGAAGGACTCTGCATACCTCCAAATGAAGATGGCACTGGCCATTCTGTGCAGATTTTACAAATTCACTTTGGTCCCTGGTCATCCAGTTGAGTACCGGATGATGACAATTCTATCAATGGCGCATGGCTTGAAGCTTACCGTAGCCAGACGTTAATGAGATGCTTGTAGAGGCCAGGATGTCAACTTGTGTCAAAGATAATTAAAAGCAAAATTAAGTGTTTTGTTCCATAAGTTCTTATATTCTGAAGCTTATTTGAACTACATGCATGAAGTCAGAAATGACAGAAATAGTTTCCCACACATGGCATTCTCAAAAGTTCAGGGGGTACATTTATTTCAAAGCTTATAAGCCACAGCACGTATACTATATACCAGAATAAAGCTTTGGCATTGTTTCTACCATTCCCGTAAAATACAGTAAAAGTAATTAACATCACTGAAACCTAAATTCAGTTACACAGACTAAGAGATCAATCTCTTCTTCTTCTCTTGCCATTCATTGATTTCAGCATCAACCCTTGCTTGAACTATTGCATGAAACCCTGGGTATGGCTCATAACCGAAGAAGCTTTGCAGAGCCTGAAGCAATAAGAAAACACAGAAATCATGATTGTCAAGTCAGTAAAAAATCAAACTAACAAGAAGTTAAAAATCCATCAAAATTACCTCTAACAGAACAAAGAAGGGAGCCATTAGAAAGGCTTGTGCAAGGTTGTCCAACAAAGCTGGTGCCCGTTTCTGCAGCAGATTACAATCAGGACATAAAATCTAAAGAGTATGAAGACAAAAAGGACATGAAGTCACAGACAGAGTTAGAAATAAAAGATTTAATACCTCAAAAACCCCATGGCCAATAAACTGTCCAGTCCAACACACAATCTGAGCCACCACAACAACCTGAAAATAAGTTGTTAATGTTAGATGACCTAAAATGAACCTCTAACGTCTAAACATACAAATAACACCAATATCATTTACAGCTAAAAACTCACTCACTCAAATGACTGAACTTTAAAGAAAAAGTTCAAAAAAAGTATATAATTTCACAAAATAAACGAAACCCAGATCAAATCTTTGGACAGAAACTAAGAATAACTCTAGAAATTACCTTCCAAGAGATGGAAAATCCCAATTGGGTTGCAAGGAAACAGCTAGCAAACCAGCAAATAACACAAAGCAGAGCAGCCAAGGAGCCAGCTTTCGCATCCAAACAGACGTAAAACACCGAATAGATTAAAGTCAACAAGAGGCCGATGTTGAAAACCAGAACAACATGGCTCCAAAACAGCGGAAACCCAAAACTGAATAACGAGGGCGTGAAGTAGAGGATAAGAAGAATCGTGAAGAGGATTGGCCAAACGAAGAGCATGTGTATCGCTATGTTGATTGGGTTGCTGTGGTAAGCTCCATAGAAAGCAAAGTGCTTTTCAAGATCGAACAATCCAGTCTTCCCCATTGAGAATCCCCAAGAAAATTAGGTAATTTTCTTTTGAATTTTCTCGGGAAAATTTGACGGGTTCAAGGAGGAAAGAAAGGGAGGTGGTCGTTTTTATTGGATCGTTCGTCAACCACAAAAAAGTAAACTTTCCTTCTTCGAACGCAACCACTAACAACTGACGCTCACCCGCCAATTTAATGAATCCTCGTCTAGTTAGCTTGTTCACAGAAGAACCCTTGAATTTATTTATGATCAGACAATACCAAGAAAACCAAAGACTCAATCTCCACCAGCCGAACGAATTTGACCCAGAAAGAAAAAACAAACAAATAAAGGGTCACAGACAAATTGTTAATTTATTATGAAAAAGAATTTGGGCTTAATATTGTTTGCTAAAAATGACCCAATGTCTCAACTCAAGCCATCCTCAATCCTCATGGTTTGGGCCTCTTTCTTTATCCTTTTTTGGCCTTTTGGATGTGGGTGGAGCCCACCTAAACTTCTCCCTCACTCACCCAAAATCAAGATAATGAATGCCACGTGGCGAAAAGTGAGGTCCATGTTGGATTAACGGGCAACATGGTCAGCCACAAAAACCTGCCCAAGAATCCACAAAAACCACCGTACTTGTATGAAATATTGGAATTTGTCTACATTTAACCAGAAGCCATGAGCAGCTTCACCAACACCACCACAACCTTCCTCCATGCCCAAATCACCAAACCCCAAAACTACCTCTGCAAAATCTCACTCCCAGCCATCAAAGCCTCACTTCCAGGAGCAGAAGAAGAAGAAAACAATGCCACAAGTCGAAGAAAAGTTGTGACAACATTTTTAGGCACTTCCTTGGCACTTGGGGTTCACCAACATGGCATTGCCACCCCACTTGGACTAGCCGAGAATTGGGGCACTCGTTCGTTTATAAGGGAACGTTTTTTCGAGCCCGGATTGTCTCCAGAAGATGCAGTGGCTAGAATTAAGCAAACAGCTGAAGGGCTGCACAGCATTAGGGACATGTTGGAGGCCATGGCTTGGAGGTATGTCATATTTTACATTCGCCTAAAGTCGGCCTATCTTTCTCAGGATCTGAAAAATGCTGCGACTCTGGTGCCGGATGTTCGCCGTCAAGAGTATGTTAAGACGGCCAATGAGTTGGTGAATAACATGACAGAGGTAGATTTGTTACTCTAAAGTATATTGTGTGTGCATTTATATATTGGTGATCTTTTAAAATCTGATTAGAATGTGATTACGTTTGTATTGCAGTTTGATTATTATGTTCGAACGCCGAAGGTGTATGAATCGTACCTATACTACGAGAAGACATTGAAATCAATAGATGATCTGGTGGCGTTGTTGGCCTAGTACGAGGTGTTGGATGTTTTTATTTGGAGCTACATGATTGCAATTTTCAATGCTTTGGATTGAGACCAAATATATTTGGGTAAATATAAAAGCGCATGGTTCGTTTAGAGCTCTTGCAATCTTAGGAGATTTTGTGATCTAAATTCATTAAGATTACGGTAATGCCACTACTAGAAAACCTCAGCCACAGACAACCTGTGCCTTATCATCTTGGCAGATTGAAGATGCAAAATACCTACAAGTGTATGATCAGTAAATGAATGTATATGACAAGTTTACCAATTACTCTAATTTGTGTTTTTCTTCAATTGTAGTAGCTGAATTGCCAATGCATAAGCAAACATCTCTAATTCGACTAAAAAAAATGCAAACATCTCAATTTTAATGAAGGATACTAGAATATATGTTGCCAAATCTCTATCACAGATGGGAAGGTATATGAGATCTAACTGAAAGAAAAACAGTAAATATCCTACAAGTATATGCCCAAATAGGAATACTGTAATTGGTAAATACCATGCATACCCTATGCCTATGCAGATTAAGAAGTTTCAGGGTGAAATAACAGAACAAGTATAAACCATGGCATTTTATTGTATCACACTCATTCTCTTTAATTATGTTTAGGTGCATACAAATCAATATTGTCATCCATAAACACACCTATGCATAAATTCATTGCGACAAATGTTGGTTTTGCAGTATGGCAAAAGAAAAATGTAACAAGATATTGCAGATTTGCTTTAAATAAATATACAGAACGTACAATTTATGTTGTGTAAATGAAAGATACTAGGAGCAAATTTTTTCATATCACACACTTACAAACCCATGTAATGTTTTCACACGAAAAGATGACATTAATACCAACCAGCAGTTCCTTGCAACACATCAGCGTCGACAGATTGCCACAGATTGCATGATGATTAGGAGTACAAGTACAGTTATGGCAACAAAGGAGCCGATAAGAGATCCAGAAATGCGCCCGCAGAAGCTGTTGAATTGCCGGCAAAATGCAAACCAGTTGGTGCTGGAGTTGCCATAATGTGCCAGGTACACTATGGCTGTTGCTGCTGAAGCTCCAGCAGTTACAAGCCCCATCATCACCTTCACAAAATTCAAGTATATATAATTGAGAATTTGGCAGAGAATATATATTTGACTGAATAGGCAGCTAAGGTAGCATATATTACCGTGTCAGAGATGATCAAGACGATCCTGCTGTTTTTTGCTGCAGTCCAGATGATATGGACAAAGGATAAAGGAAGAGAAAGCACAAGGTAGACACATACAATTGAGTTGGCCATCACAAAAAACCTGTGTGACATGAAAGCACATTTACGAAGTTTTAGCCTTTTTCTCATGAGGAAAAGAAAATAGTAGTTCAATCATTTTTGCAAAGATTAAAGATTTTTACATTAACGTGGGAAGATCCTTGTAACGAGCCCTGAATCGAACAAACTGCGCGGCGAAGGGAAGTGTTTCCTGGCTGGTTCCCATAGCTATGGCACTTGCCAATGTTCCAAGGGCTGCAGCTACCCGCAGAGTGAAGTCTAGAACAGAGAGCACTCTGCTCACCCTTACTTTTGGGATTGGGATTGGTTTTGAGGCTTCTTTATCAGTAGCATCAACTGCTCCTCCTACCTTCATTTTTCTTAGTTAGTTTTTCTCTTTGAAAGTATAGGGAGTTTTGAAATTGTACTGTGTACTTGGTAGAGTGATGATATTGCTGTGGAGATAGATACAGGGGAAGGCATGCATTTATAGTAATTTGTATGTTGGGTTTCAATGCCTTGCCTTGTGTATGTATGCTTCTCCTGAGCCATGCCATATGTAAGCCTGTGATAGGCTAAATGATGATATCTCACTGGTAAAGCTGGAGTTTAGTGACAAAGGCAATCCCACCGGCTCTCACTTGCTGTATATTTAATTCTGAACAAAGAGCCTTCTGCCAACTCCAACAATGAACAGATAATGCCATGACATAGGACAAGGCTTTGTGCAAATTTTGTGCTACTAAATTTCTCTTGGTGACATGCTAGGGTCATAGGAAATTGGCCAATCAGGTATATGATTCACTGCCAAGTGAAGTCATGATCTGAAATGCTTGTGGAAAATGCTGTCACAGTTTTAGTGGGTTTGGTGGCTTTAAACATATGTAATATGTTGTCTTTTAGGTTGAAAATGTAAGTCAAGAATAAGGCGCAATTAGGCCCAAAGCAACTTGGCAATGACAGCAAGTCCAAATTTCTCATGAATATATGCAAACTGCTCCATGGCCTAACCAAATGGACCTGAAAACCTTACCTCTTGGCTCAAAAGGGAGGAAGAAGCAGCAAATCTTTATAGAGGACTTCCTGCTTTGTGAAATCTTGACTTGTAGAAATTTGTTTGCTGTTTTGGACCTGCACTACTTCACAAATCTTTATAATTGGGGAAAAAAAATAAAAATTGACCATCATCTATATAACAAACACCATGAAAATGCCACATAATCAACAAAAAACATGGGATTTGAACAAAAAATGAAAAAGAAAAAACATGGGATCATTTTGTCAGAAAGTACTTGCAAAAAATCACAAATGAGAAAGTTGGGATTTTATAGAAGCAAAAATGAGAAAACTTACTGCCATGTACATTGTGGGAGCAAATTTCCTCCCACGGGAATATTCGCCTAAAGATTCCTTCATCTTCTTCGCACCTCTCTCTCCCTGCAAAACAGATCGGAGTAAAAGGACCACACCCGGGGGGTGTTGGCCAAAGGCCCTCCGATGCCTAAGTTAGGATGGGTGTTTCAAGGAAAACCGGGTGGCCGTAGCCGTGTGTAGAGGCCGGAGCCTTGTGTGAGAGAGAGAGAAAGAAGATGGTGGCTAGGGTTTGTGAAGGATCATTTTTGCAGAGTTTCAGTAGGAATTTAGACGTACCTTAACCCTTGTGTGTAGCTAGGTATTTATAGGAGCCTCGGAGGCTAGGGTTTCAGAGGAATAATTCCGTAGATGGAAAGGAATTATTCCTCCCCGATTAGGCGAGATTTGATTAATTAGGGATTTGATTTATCTGATTTAAATCAAATCCCTAATTAGGGTAGGAATCAAATCAATCCCCATTTTAATTAGGTAATTGCCAATTTAATCGGGTAACTGCCAATTAAATTGAGTAACTCCCAATTAGGTCAAATAATCCCCAAATGGAAGGAATTATTTGACCTAGGGTGATTTAATTCGGTTCCCACAAATGCCCCCCAGCTTCTGCATGGCACGTGGTGGCATGTAGGAGATGTGAATTATCTGTTGGGCTGTCCAGCTGTAACTGGGCTTCCTTCTTGGATTTGGGCTCCTGAGTTGAGGAGGTATTTGACTTGCCAATTGGACTTTGGCTTGGGCAGTCTAGCTGTAGATCTGCCCACGATGAAGTCGCAGTCTCACGATCAAGGAATACGTCTCCACAGCCAAAGCAGCCGAGACCTTCTTCTGCCATGAGCAAGTCTTCCTCAAGGAGGGTCTCGTCTGCTGAGAAGGTCCTTATGGAAGTTAATCCTGCCTCGTTTTCTATGATCAAGCGCCTCGTCAGTGTGAATAGTAAGCATGTCAGTAGCATACAGGAGGTTCGGGATATTCTGCTCAAGTCTCCGGTTGAACTGCCCAAAACCAGTGATCTGCCTTATAAAGAGGCTGCATAGAAGCAAGGTTTGGGTTGCCTGCACTGATCCGGGGATCAAACTGAGAAGACTGTGCCTCTGTTCAGCAATCACGACTCGTCTGCAAAGCCACGAACAGTTAAGCGCGGAGCTGACTCAATGTTGCAAGTTGTAGCCAAGAGAGATAAAAAGTCGTATGCTCGAGCAAAAAGTCCTTCAGTTGAACAAACTACCGATCCGGGAGTCGGTGAGAGCTCTGTTGGTCAAGTTTAACACTCATGTTGAAGCCACGGAGGCATCCAAGCATGAAATTGCTGCTAATGCATACAAGCTGGGATACTTGGACGGCAAGAACGGTGCTCCTCCTTGTTGCCCTCTCGAACATGAAGATGGTGAACAGCTCTATCCTGACTTGCCCCCTGCTCAAAGTGAGCAGTTCAATGCTGTGGATGTAGAAGCAATTGAAGAGCAGGTAGCTGATGAAGCTGCAATGCAGGAAGACGACACCAAAGGTGGAGCGGCTGATGAGATTAGGGCAGATGCGGAGGAGGAGGCAGCTGGGCTGCTGAGCAGATGATGTCGGTTGAGCATAATCAGGCTCATTTCTTGTTGAACTTGGCTGGTTGGCAGCTTTGTAATGGAATTTTCAGTTGTCTTTCAAACTTCAATTCTCATTGTATCTTGTAAGTGTATGTCCGGAGACATAGCGCTTGAAAGAGACTTCAAAAAATGCTCCATTGAGTTCGTGCTTCGAGGAGCAGCTTGTCTGCAATGGAGGTGGGGCTTGTCGCCTGCGAGCGTATGTCGGGGACATAACACTCAAAAAATGCTCCATTGAGTTCGTGCTTCGAGGAGCAGCTTGTCTGCAATGGAGGTGGGGCTTGTCGCCTGCGAGCGTATGTCGGGGACATAACACTCAAAAAATGCTCCATTGAGTTCGTGCTTCGAGGAGCAGCTTGTCTGCAATGGAGGTGGGGCTTGTCGCCTGCGAGCGTATGTCGGGGACATAACACTCAAAAAATGCTCCATTGAGTTCGTGCTTCGAGGAGCAGCTTGTCTGCAATGGAGGTGGGGCTTGTCGCCTGCGAGCGTATGTCGGGGACATAACACTCAAAAAATGCTCCATTGAGTTCGTGCTTCGAGGAGCAGCTTGTCTGCAATGGAGGTGGGGCTTGTCGCCTGCGAGCGTATGTCGGGGACATAACACTCAAAAATTGTTCCATTGAGTTCGTGCTTCGAGGAGCAGCTTGTCTGCAATGGAGGTGGGGCTTGTCGCCTGCGAGCGTATGTCGGGGACCTCGAGAAGTAGCTTGCCTACAATGGAGGTAAGGCTTGTAGCCTGTGTACGCATGTCGGGGACATAGCGCTTGAAAAATGCTCCATTGAGTTCGTGCTTCGAGGAGCAGCATGTCTGCAATGGAGGTGGGGCTTGTCGCCTGCGAGTGTATGTCGGTCACATAACACTCGAAAAGTGCTCCATTGAGTTCGTGCTTCGAGGAGCAGCTTGTCTGCAATGGAGATAAGGCTTGTAGCCTGTGTGCGTATGTCGGGGACATAGCGCTTGTGAAAAAAGCTCCATGAAATTTGTACTCGAGAAGTAGCTTGCCTTCAGTGGAGGTAATGGAGGCTCGTCGCCTGCTTGGAGTTGAGCTGGAACATAGCGCTTGAAAAAGGGGCTCCATGAAGTTTGTACTCGAAAGTAGCTTGCCTTCAGTGGAGATAAGGCTTGTAGCCTGTGTGCGTATGTCGGGGACATAGCGCTCGAAAAAGGCTCCATGAAGTTTGTACTCGAGAAGTAGCTTGCCTTCAGTGGAGGTAAGGCTTGTCGCC